CCATGAGGATGTTTCGGCTGTCACGGGCTGTCATCCCAGGGGGCTGCACTCCGCTAGTGCAGCCTCTGGATGTGTCAATCAACCGCGCGTTCAAGTGCGGTGTGCGTCATCGCTACAGTGGCTGGTTCGAAGAAGAGGGCATCAACACCACCACCAAGTCCGGTGAGTTGAACCATGACATCCGCATGTGTAACTTTGAATCAATGTCGGCTTACGCTCTGGAAATTAACATTTGTCCTTCTCTACCCTTCCCCGTCCCTCAGGCAATCTCAAGAAGCCGCCAGCGGAGTTGGTGCTCCGCTGGATCGATGAGTCCTGGGAAGCAATCCCACAGGAGCTCGTGAAGAAGGCGTTCGTCACGTGTGGGATCTCCACCCCCATCGATGGCAGCGAGGACCACCTCATCCTTGCCCACATGCGGGACAAGGGTGAGGTGGAAGTCCTTGACGACGTCAACGACCTGGTTGACGACGAGCTCGTCGTCAACCCCTTCTACGTCGAAGTCCCCATGCCGGCCGAGCAGCTGCAGGCGGAGGCAGAGGAGGCTGACGCCGCTGATGAGGATGCGGAAGCGGCGGCGGCAGAGGAGGAGGGGGGCATGCTTGAGGGAGGCGGGGAGGCAGAAGAGCCCAGCGATGATGAATGGTGGCGCCCTGGCCGCTTTGACGGGGAAGACTGTGAAGAATGGCATGCAGGAGACGATTCTGAGTAAGGCACTTTGTATAGAGTTTTTTTAGGTGAAATTGTGGATGTGAGGTGCTCTTGTGGTGATGTTTCTGCAGTCTAGGTGACATTGTCGATGACTACTGGCACATTACTTCTGTAGTACCTGTAAAGTACCCTGTATGCAATGTAAGCAAATTCAGTATTTTTGCCGCCCATAACACCCCCCCGGGTCTTATAGAGAATCAGGCAAAAAGGGGGGTATAGTAGAAACGAGGCTCCCCATAACACCCACCCCGCACAAGCTACCCGGGGGTGTACAATTATGGGGGGGTGTTTTGTCCGGGAGTATACGGTATGCCAGGATCGATGTGAGGCCACGATCCTTGTAGAATGAAAACAGGTGCCGCGTCCTCAGCCATCCATCAGCAGCAGCTGAGTGAGTGTGTCTGCTTTTCACCTAGGCTCGTGTGGGTGTGCACGCGTGGATGGGAACAATCATTCATTTGTGCCCTTAGCATGGACTATGTACAGTTGTGTTAAATTCGTATGTGTGGTGCTTGTTCTTGCTGTGATCAATGAATACGGTACCCCATACAAACTTTCCACATTCTTCCCCCCAGAATTCCTCCATATACCGTAAGAATACCATACCAGTCAACAAGGTCTACAACAGTTCCATTACATAACACAGTTCAACACGCTATGTAGAACACAAATATACTTCCCAGTCATCCACTACACTAGCCCTTAGACGCAATAAGCTGAGTTGACTGACCATATGCCTGAGCTCATGACCTATATGGGTCGAGTGGACTTGCTCCTTTCCCTGCAACCAGATTCAGTGAAATGAAAGAGTGACAAGGAGATGCTTATGCATATACATCAACCCATAGTCTTAACCTTCACATACCTCCCAACCCAACCCCAGCCGTCCCATCTGGCTCAATTCATCCACCCTGTAACACTCTACCCTGTCCCAGATTATTACATCCCACCCAATCCAGCCCCATTCCAGTCCATATTATATTAACCCTCATATCCCATCCCACGCCACGCCACCCACCCTCAACGTGTCAACATCATCCGGTTCCAACGTGTCAACATCATCCAGTTCCAACGTGTCAACCTCATCTGGTTCCAACGTATCTCCTCCTCGCAGTTCTCACTGGCCCCGTCTTTCCCCAGCCCCACTGCTCCCACCTGCCCCTTTTCCATCGCCGCTCTCAGCTCCCCCATTTTTCCCAGCTGCTCCCAACTGCCCCTCCCACCGTCCGCTGCTCACAGGTCCCCCTTCTCTACTGTTGTTCTCAGCTCTACGCTGCTCTCAGCTTTCGCTACTTCTCCCCCCTTCTTGCCCTTCTCTCCCCACCATCTCACCCTTCACTTTCCACTGCTCTTGGCTCTGTCTCCCATCCAATCCTTCCAGCACCCACAGCAGCTGTGCCACATGACTCGCTCTGCCATGCAATCATGCTCCTCTTCGATTTTGACTCGGCTCGAAAAAAAGTCAAATTAAGTCGGATTCCTTCCTTTATGTGACTCATCTCGGATCGAGCCTCGGTCCAGATGGCGATGCAGCGACCGCTCGGTGTGTCATGGGTCCAGTCGCACCTGACTCTGCTCGCGTCTGATGACTCGCACAGAAATTAATGGGACTTCGCATCAATCCCACCTGTGCCATGCTCACCTTGCACGGGCAGCAGCAGCTGGCCTGAAAGCGCCCACTACTGCCTCAACACCTTTCCCCTTCAGCTGCCTTTGAGAATCCAGCGCACTCCTTCCCAGCCCAATCAAGTCCCTTCCCCCATTCCCCCACTTCGCCCTTCCTCCTCCCCCTTTCTTATTCCACCAAGTCAACCAGCCTCTCCCGCACCATTCTCACCCAATTCACCCCATGGCTCGCGCCTTTTCCCCCTGCCCCGGGCCTCCCATCCGCATCACAAGGAGTGCAGCTGGGTGTTCCCATTCCGCTTCCCACCCCCTGCTCTCCTTTGGTTTTCCCAACCCTCCCAGCACTCTCAGCTCCCCTTCTCCCGCCACTGCTCCTTCCCCATTCCCTCTGCCCGCTGCAACTGTACTGTTTGCCGCATCCACTCCCCCGCCCTGCTGTGCTCCGACTTGGTGGGATGGCGGAAGGACGAGAAAGGGGAGAGATAGGAAGGGGGAGACACGGTGGGGTGAGGGGGAGACAGGCAGGGGGGAGAGAGGGAAGGGGGGGAGGGAGGGATTGGCAGAAGAGATTTGCGAAGGGATACAAAGAGAGGAGGGAGCGGGCGAGGGACTCCCACGGCGAAGGAAAGGAGGGAGCAAGAGAGAGGGGCGCAGAAAGCTTGGGTGAAGGAAGGGAGGCAGTGGGTGGGGGAAGGCGGGCGGAGCGGAGGTACACGGCCACTAATGCAGCCATGCTAAATTCACTTTTGAGAATTCTCAAAGGCGGGCGGAGGCCACTGATGCATGGCCACTGATGCATGGCCACTGATGCATGGCCACTGATGCATGGCCACTGATGCATGGCCACTGATGCATGGCCACTGATGCATGGCCACTGATGCATGGCCACTGATGCATGGCCACTGATGCATGGCCACTGATGCATGGCCACTGATGCATGGCCACTGATGAATGGCCACTGACTGCTCACCCATGACGGAATCCAATCGCTGTCTCATCCTCACAGCCCGTTATCATCCCCCCACATGTCGCTCTTCCCCCCCACGCGACGCTCATCACCCCATGCGACGCTCATCCCCCCATACGACGCTCATCCCCCCATGCGACGCTCATCCCCCCATGCGACGCTCATCCCCCCGTGCGACGCTCATCCCCCCGTGCGACGCTCATCCCCCCATGCGACGCTCATCCCCCCACGCGACGCTCATCCCCCCACGTGTCGCTCATCCCCCCACGTGTCGCTCATCCCCCCACGTGTCGCTCACAACGTGTGGTCCCTAACCTTGCGAGCACTCATCCACCCACACACACCGGAATCGCGCCGGAGTCGAGATTGACTGCATTTCGCGGACTTTGGTCGTCACCCATGCGACACGAATTGTCCACATTTGGCACATGCGACTCGGCAAAAGCGAGCTTGCTGCGGCCAGGGTCGTCATGTGGTTGTGAAGAATGCAAGGATCGTCAGGCCATGCCCTGATTCGACTCATGCGACTCGGCACGTCCGAGGCGAGGCTGTTGCGGGCGGCGAAGCTCGCGAGGGTGGAAAGAACGCCAGAACGGCCGTCATTATTGCGGTTCTTCGTAGCGCAATGCGTATTTCAGGCCCAGGTACGGACATGTATGCAATAACGCCGAGCGAGCGTGAGCCGACGCCGTGAAACGCGGAGTTGCGAACAGTGACGCCCTCAGTAGTAAGGCGCGCCGTCGGATCGGACCAGCAAGCTGCCACAGTGTGACTGTTACATGTGAACGGCGGGTTGCACTGGTAGGGTTGCCACGCAGCGATGGAGAACAACATTCACAAGAGGTGACTAACGCGGATATTGAGATGGTTGACGGGAGTTTGAGGTTACAAAATACAGTTCTAGAAAAAAAACAGACATAAAAAAACACCTACTCTACAAACTGGCATGTGAGCTTCACTTTGGCAACTCGGTGGAGTCAATCAAGGCAGAATGATTTCTGCTCAACTATGTGCAGTCTCAGTATGATGGGATGAAGCTTGGAGACATCCCATGAGAAAGAAGGGCTGTATGCACCATTCTCATGGTTAAGCATAGCCCCATCAGGGCTCTTGCTAACTATTTGGGGCGTCTGATGAAAAAGTATTCTTTTTTTTTTAGTCTGACCATCATATGAGGGATCCTGGGTGGTCTGATTTTCATATGAAATATTTAAGGCCGTCTGTAAGTAGGAATGAAAAATATTAACAAGTACATGTATTCATGTGGACAGCGTAGTTGGTTTGATTCGAACGCGGAGTCCAGCGGATGTGGGATCGACTTTTGCGAGAGGATTGTCGAGCTTCTTTGTTTTCCCTTGGGTTATCAGACAGAAATATCCTCGCTGTCTGGAAACTCGTACGAAATCTAACCTGTGTTCTGAAAAAAAACATATGAGTATAAACGCCTTATCTGGGCTATCATATGAGCCGCGTTCTTTTGTCTGCGAGAACATATGAACAACAAAAAATGCGACTGAAATCTAGACCAACATACTAAATTAGTCTGATAACGAGAGCCCTGAGCCCCATCCCCGTTAGTACCAATTCAGTTGTTCCTTAAACAGGTTAGTCAAGTGTAGTCACACACACCCAAGCTGGGCCCATAACCAGCTGTGGCATTCAAAGCATGCCATCAGCTCCTAGAGTAACGGCCATGTCAGGCCACGGAGGCAGCATGGCAGGGCGTGTCAAACAGAGAGCCGGTAGAGCACCGGATGGGAAGGGCTGCTGCAGCACGGCTGGGCGTGGCTGTATGGGAGCTTGCATGTGCGAGCCCCTTGGGTTCGAGGGCGTGTTCAGTGCACTGGTGGCGGCAGGGACCAGTGGAAGTTGACAAGGCACTCTCAGCCAAGGCGTTGGTGGCAGTGGCAGTGCGAGTAGCTTTGGAGTCGGCCGCGGCAGTGGCCGTGGCAGCGGCTGTAATTGTGGCTGTGGCAGCGGCTGTGATTGTGGAAGTGGGTGGTGCAGTGGCAGCGAGGGCATGTACTCCAGCTCTACACACCCACATGCCTTCCACTGTGCAAGCGTCGCCTCCTGGGTGAGCCCCTGCTGCTGCCTGTGCCAGTCGGCACCTGCCTCCCCGGCCCCTCCTTGCTCTGCCGCCCATTCTGCCACGGGTGACCCAGCAGCCCGACTGGGTGGCTCAGCAGCACCGAGGGGTGGCCCAGCAGCACCGGGGGGTGCAGGCCTCTGAGCCTCAGGCCCACTGGCCAAGGGCACAGCGAGGGCACTCCCAGCCAGCAGCAGGTGGGCCATGGGCGTGTCGAGAAAGAGAGCATCCTTGTCCCTATCACTCTGGTTGTCGTTGTCACTGTTGCTGTTGTCGTTGTTGTCGGTGCCGTTGCTTTTGTTGTCGGTGGAGCTTCCGTTGTCGAGCACGATAATGCATGCATCCACGTATTCCTGCTCCTCTGTGCCACACCCACACGTACTCCCAGCAAGTACCTCTGCAATGCAGCTGCTTGTGCTGCCGGGAGCAGAGCCGGGCAGAGCAGCGAGTGGGGAGGCCATTGCTGTTGGCAGCGGTGCAAGTGGCTGGGTGGGCGGAGGAGCAGAGAGAGCAGCACGTTGCGCGGAGGTACGGTCTCCCAGCAGCACGTCGTGTGGAAGTTCACGGGCACTCTCCGACGCAACATGCGGCCAGTCCACCCGCTGCACCGCGAAATCAGCACAGGGGGTGGAATTACCAATGCAGAAAGCAGAGCCATGCGGAGCAGCGAGTTGGGGGGGCAATGGCGATGGCAGAGGTTTGGGCGGCTGGGTAGGCGGAGGAACAGAGAGAGCGGCGCGTTGCGTGAAGGCAGGGTCCTCACAGCTGAATCCCAGCAGCACGTCGTCTGGAAGGGCACTCTCCGACCCAACGTGCGGCCACAGCACCCGCTGCGCCCTGCTCCTCGCTCCTCCCTGGTGCAGCTGGCGACGCTCCTCCTGCAGCAGAGCCTCCAGCAGGGCTTCGTCCGCTGCCTGCTGCATGCTGCTGCTCGCCCCCTGCTGCTCAAACTGCTCCGTCACTGCTGACTGATGCCGGCGCTCCGTGCTACTCACCATCCCACCTTGCACCAACCCGTCTCGCACCAACCCGCTTCGCACCAACCGGCTGTCACAACCACCCGGCAGACACTGGTCGGCCCCCCTCCCAACGCAGTCGTCCCTTGGCCGCTTCACTGCACGGCGCAGAGCAGCGGCACTGGAGGCAGCAGCAACGGGGACGGCATCACGGGAGAATGGAAACTCGGTGGTAGAAGCAGCAGCAGCAGAGAGGGCGGCGGTTTCGGAAGCAGGAAAAGGAGTCTGGGAAGCAGGAGGAGGGGTGGCGAGGGATGAGAGGTTGGGCGGGGTTGCTGGGAGGCAGCAGCGAGCATTGGGGGCGAGGAACGCCATCACGCACTCCTCGTACGACAGCCCCCCGAATGTCAGTGCCGCTGCTCCCACGCCCTCCGAGCGCTGCTACTGCTGCTGCTGCTTGAAATCCTGGGAGAGCAGTGGCTGACTGTGGCCGTCCAATGGAATAAGGGGCCGGGAAAATGCAGCAGCTCCCAGGTGCGTTCGCAGGAAGTTCTGGTGAAAGCGGTCTGTCAACTTCCTGCCACCACCGCACGGCCGCAAGAGAGAGAGAGAGAGAGAGAGAGAGAGAGAGAGAGAGAGAGAGAGAGAGAGAGAGAGAGAGAGAGAGAGAGAGAGAGAGAGAATTAGCTGAAAATTTGGGTGTTGTTCGAGAGAGCGAGAGAGAGAGAGGATTAGCCTCTCCCCTTCTACCCTCTGCCCTCTGCTTTCTGCCCTCTGCCATGACTACTTAAGGCCACGGCGGCCTCTCCATCTCTCATTCTTTCAGTTAGTGCTGAAAATTTGGGCGCTTCGCACCGGCGGCCGCGCGTTAGGGATGGCAAGGGGAAACAACAAGCAGTAGTAGCTTAGGCAACCGATACAAACAAGGCAAGCATAGACACTTAGCAAGTAGAGGATGGAACGGGTCTATACGCGCAAGGGGGGAGCGCCTACATGCGGTCCGCCTCTACCGCAGCGAGCATTCCGCTCGTGTTCAACCACAACTGGCGGACCACAGACACAGTGGCGCCTACAACGTCAACAGGAGTACCAGGGCCTACTACAAGCGTCCTCAGAGCCAGGGCCGAGTCAGCCAGCTGGCTGGCCGAGGTTGCTCTCGGCGAGGGCGCTACCTGCAGTGGCATTACGAGCGCGAATAGCGCTGACGCCGCCGCATGACAATCTGCTCGCGGTTTCTGAGAGAACCTGCTCGAAGGGCTCATCGGCATGGAGTCAAATGACTCCTGGAGAATCCGCTCAAGGCTCTGCAGGGACGCCGCTAGCGACCATAGGCGGGCCAGGGTCGCCGTGGGAACTTCCTTCATCGGCGGAAGCAATGCATACGCGCGGGCACGATGAGACGACACGGCGAGATCACGCGGAGCAGGAAGAGGACGCGGCGGAGCAAACTGAGCCCACGGCGGCCCGCCACCAGCACCTACGAAGCCCGTCCCCGCAGGCAGCGGCTACTCCGAACGCGCCGGGGATCCAAAGGGATTGTGGGGCAGGAGCGCGGAGAGAGGGACAACGGGAGGAGCGCGAGGAGCTGATGGTGACGCCGACCCAGCACGCGAGCGACGAAGCTCCTTCTCCACGTCATCAAGCCTATCCAGAAGACGGCGCTCCATTGCGGACGGCGCTGGACCCGCTTTTCCGCCACGACTGTCACCTCCCCATCGCCCACGACGCGCACGCCCACTTGCGCTCGAGCGCATAGGCGACTGCGGGCGAGATGGGCCCTGCTGACGCTGGCGGCCAGGAAAACGGTCCCCGCGACGAGGGGAGTAGAGCCGTTGGCGCTTTGCAGGAGGGGGCGAACGCGGAGCTAGGGGCCGACGCCCAAACGTCTGGCGGGCAGGCGACCGCTGGCGAGATGAACGAGGAGGGGGCGAACGATGACGATGTGAACGGCGGCCACGGGATCGGCTTCGCGACGCCACGCGACGAGGCAAACGAGGAGACAGCGGCAAACGGGCCGCACCGTGACGATCATCGCGGCGGCTCTCCCGCTCATCGTCACGAGCTGCCGATGAGCGACGGCGAGGCGAACGCTCCTGGTGCGCCACAGCCTCTGCGCCGGAGCGCAAGACGGCCCCCGAGCGCAGGGGCTCCGGCGGTGACAAGGACCTGCCCGCGCGCCGAGCCAGCTCGCGCTGCTGGTCCTCGAAGCGGCGACGGATCTGATCAGCGGACGCCGGTGGAGCAACAGGTACGCTCGCGGCAGGGCGTGCAGGAGGAAGCGGACGGGGAGCGGGATCGCTCTCCGCGGTGCAGTCGCGGCCCAGAGCGCCGAGGAAATCCATCAGCGAGCGCTCAGGGCGCTCCACTGCCACAAGAGGAGCCGACGACGCCGATCTCCTAGGCGCAACAGGCGGCACCTGTGGCAGCCACTCCGAGGAGCGGACGGGGAAGCACGCGGGGGAGAGGCGGGGGTCGAGGAGCGCGCGGAGGACAGCGGAGTGCAGGCCAAGCGGTGAGGGGGAATCCGCTCCAACTACCGAGCCCAATCTGGTTGGGGGAGCCGGCGGAACGAGTCACGCGCCAGTCGTTTGCTAGACGCGGGGGGAGAGGGGGAACGATAGCGCAAGCAATGAGAATCGGTGATACAAACGCAGAAGGGAGTGGCGACGAATATGTACCTTCAGATCTGAGGCAACCCAACAACCTCGACTCACCTCTCGCGGAAGCGGGGGAGGACCAGGCGCAGCAGCAGGAGAGGGATTCTAGACGTCGACAGAACCGCAGACCCCAACCCCCTCCGGACCAAGCCCTGTCAGCGTCCCAGCTGGCATCGAGGGAGGATCTCTTTGAGATCGCGACGAGCTGGGACTCTTCAACCCTAACGTCAACCACCCACCTGCCTATCGTCCGCCGCCTGCCGCCGCAGATACTAAGCGACTACTCCACCTGTATGCTGGCCGCCCTCTTACGGATCTCCAAACTGCCCAACAGCGCGGGAGCGTGGCGGGTCCTCATGTTCCTGCCACGTCTCACCTTACGACTTAGCAGGAGGTCCAGCTCTAAGTGGAAGGTGCTGCGAGAGCAGATGCACCTATTCAGATGTGGCCACTGGAACCAGCTCTACAGTGACTACGTGGGGTCCCTGCACCAAGCTGAGCCACCTCAGCACCAAAACGACCCCCTGGGAATCTGCTCACGTGTGGAGGGGCTGGTGAAACGAGGTAACCTGCGAAAAGCGTTGGCAGCCCTTTCACCCTCGCCAGCGGCCCCTGCGACGATCGCAACATTGCAGCAGTTGGAATTGAAACATCCCCAACCCCAAGTTGAGCTGCCCGGCTGGGTCCACACCTACACAACACCCACGCAATTTTCGTGCACCGCGGAAAGTTTCTCAGACGTCCTTGGGGATTGCCCCAACGGAGTTGGGGCTGGTCCATCCGGGTCAACATTTGAACACTACCGCGACCCAGCCCTAAGCAACATCGAAGTGCTGGGGCACCTACACTCCGCCGTAACACATCTTCTCTCCACGAATCTTTCCACCGAGGTTGCAGCACTACTCTCGCCATCCCGCCTCATCGCCTTTGCGAAACCAGAGGGGGGGGGTACGCCCTATCGCAATAGGGGAATCCCTACTCCGGTTGGCAGCAAAGGTGGCACTCTCGGAAATGCAAGGAGAAACAAGGCGATTTTTCTTACCCCAACAATTCGGTGTGGCAGTCCCAGGCGGAGCTGAGTTCGTTATACATGCAGTCAGAGACCTCACCACTTCACAACCTTCCAGCCTAGTCCTCCAACTCGACATTGAAAACGCTTTAAACTCCGTAGAGAGGAAAGCGTTCTTCAACGCACTCGCCAACACCCCGCTAGCACCGCTCATACCTTTCACCCGCTCCTTCTACGCAACGCCTTCTCAGCTGCTGACCGATCCCCGCTTGAGCACGACGGCACTTACCAGCGGAAGGGGGGTGAGGCAGGGGGACCCCCTCGAACCCCTGCTGTTCGCGGCATCAATCCAGCAGCACCTCAGACGCACAGCAGCAGAGCACCCAGAAGTCACGATCTGTGAGGATCTAGGATCGAGTTCTGCTTGCTGCTCTTCATCCGCTGGCACGTGTCGCAAGAGGTGACGAACTGCTGCACGTCTGCTGCCATCCCGGGCCAGTAGTAATACTTCGCTATCCCTGCTAACGTCTTGTTGCTCCCGAAATGTCCCGCGTAAGGTACGTCGTGAAACTCCTCCAATAGGATCTGCCGTAGCGGGGCGTAATTCGGTACCCAAATCTTTCCTGAACCCTTCCTTACAGCTAAGTCTTTCTCCCACTGTAATAGCTTCTTGGTCTGTGCTGTAGCAATCTCTGCGTCCACGGAGTACCCATGTTGGAATAGACCCTTGAGCAGAGGGTTCATCCCGTCGAGCTGGATGCCTGCTACATGTCTGGGGCGGCTCAACACGTCTGCCTTGTTGTGTAGCCCGGGCTTGTAGACGATGTCGTAGTGGAAGTGAGTTTCTAGGAAGTCCACCCACCGCACCTGTCGTCGTGAGAGTGTCGGCTGTGACTTCAGGTATTTGAGACTGCAGTGGTCAGTATAAACTGTAGTCTTGGCTCCCTCTAGGTAACACCTCCACGCCTTGAAGGCTATGACTATCGCTAAGGCTTCCTTGTCGTGAATGGGGTAGTTTAGTTCTGCTCCGTGTAGCTTCTTACTGAGGTAGGCGATGGGCTGCAAACCGCGTCCGTGATCCTGCATCAGTACTGCTCCGACTGCTTGGTCACTAGCGTCTGCTTCCACCACGTAGTCCTTGTCTGGATCCGGCAAGATGAGTACTGGCGCTGTAGTCAGTGCTGTCTGTAGCTGCTCCATGGCTTGCTGATGAAGGGTATCCCATTTTGTAGGGCGTATCCTTTTTCAGTAGGTCGGTCAGTGGCGCTGCTATCTTAGCGTACTGCGGCACGAACCTGTTGTAGTAGTTGGCGAAGCCTAGGAACTGCTGTAACTCCTTCACGTTCTCTGGTACTTTCCACTTCTTGACGACTTCGATCTTCCGTGGGTCCACGTGTACGCCCTCGGCACTCACCATGTGCCCGAGAAACTGCACCTTCTTCAGGGCGAAGTCGCTCTTTGACAGCTTCACGTAGAACTTGTTTTTCCGCAGGATCTCGAACACCTTCCGCAGATGCTCCACGTGCTCCTTCATGTTCTTGGAGTAGATGAGAATGTCGTCCAGGTACACCACCACGCATTCGTCCAGCAGGGGTCGTAAGATGTGATTCATCTCCGCCTGAAACGTTGCTGGTGCGTTGCAGAGTCCGAACGGCATCACCAAGTATTCGTAGGAGCCGTATCTGGTACGGAACGCTGTCTTGTGGACGGAGTTGTCTGCCATCTTGATCTGCCAGTAGCCCGATCGTAGGTCCAGCTTCGAAAATACTGTTGCTCCACGCAGTTGATCGAGTAGGTCGTCTATGCGCGGCATGGGATATTTGTTTTTTACTGTCTGTTTGTTCATTGCGCGGTAGTCGATGCACATCCATAGACTGCCGTCTGGTTTTGGAGTGAAGAGAACTGGTGCGCCATAGGGAGAGGTGGATGGGCGGATCAGTTGTCTGTCCAGTAGATACTCTATCTGTTTTTTCATGTCTGTCAGTTCAGTCGGACTCAGTCGGTATGGTACACGTGAGACGGGTTTCGCACCTGGTTCCTCCACGATCTCGTGCTCGTGGGTGCGTGCTGGAGGTACGCCCGCAGGTAGGTCGTCGGGCATTATATCCTTGTACTGCTCCAAGACCTCTTTCACTGCTGCAGGTAGCTCGGAACTCGGCTTCTCCTCCTCTGCTGCTGCCATAACCAGTGCTAGGTAACCCGTGTTACTCTTATTCACCGTCTGTTTGAACCGTGCCAGTGTCGTTTCAGGTATGTCCCCTGTATCCGTCCAGCTTCGCAGCTCCACTCGTTTCCCGTTGTTGTAGATGCACACCTTGCTGTTGACCCAATCGATCTCGGGGTTGAACCGCTTCAGGAAATCTCGCCCCAAGATAAAATCTAATCCTTTGATGTTGGTGACTGGTAGCTTCGGCTTCCACCTCAACGCACCTATATGCAGTTGCAGTGATGCTTCGCCGTGGATAGGAAGCTTTGTACCGTCCACCATGGTTGCTGAAAACTGGGTCTCTTCCGCCTTCTCTCCAATTTTCTCCAATGCTCCGCGGTCACACACCGAGTGAGATGCACCGCTGTCCACCAGTGCCTGGAGGCGTCGCCCATTGCATAACACCTCGAGGAGTAGTGGTTTCTGCTGTGCTGAGTAGCCAAAGAGGGTCTTGTTAATAGGATCATAGGGTACATCAAACTTAATACCTTCCCTTTTTCCTATACCTGACTCAGCGCTTTCCAACTTCACCTGGGGGGTAGGAGGATTTTTCCGAGGCTTGTATAATTTTTCCTGAGCCTGGATATCTCCTCTAAGCCTTGGCAGCTGTGTAGGCTTCACCTGTGGGCGACGGGGAGCCTTAACACTGTGCTGCGGGGAGAGAATATTAATTCCACGGAACGCACGACCCTTCTCTACGCTCCGTAGTATTTTGCCTGAATAAATTCTAAAGGCTTTTTCTTGGCCTCTAGACCTCCCCTGAATTTTTTGAAGGCTTGTAAACCACGAGAAGCAATATTCTTCGTTAGAGCATCTTTATAGGATACTTTTAACGAATTCTTACTTTCGTGGGTGTTCGGCTGGAGTTTCCCGGTCGGTGCAGAGTCTTTTTTCGTGGAGCCTCCATTCCCCTCGGCGATTTCCCCTGATGCCGGCCGGTCGTGACGTTTTAAATTCGCGCCATCATTTTCTCCTTTTTTCACCCGCTCCGAAGTCGCCACGTCGTCGCCTTTTCCTGCTTTTCGGATCTTTACGCGATCGCCAGGTCGATCCGCGGCTACTGGCGATTCCCGTTTTTTTACTTCGGGGGTGCTCCACTGTTTCCGTCCCGGAGTGCCGCACGTGCTTTCTTCATTTTGTAGCACGACAAAAACTGATGTCCTGCTGCGCCGCAAAATTCGCATTTTGTCGGCTGCTGCTTCGCGTCGTATTTGTCGATATCCATCGGTTCGGTGAACGTGGGGGGTGCCGATCGCTCCGTGCCGAATGTACGGTTTGGCGTGAAGCGTCGTGTTTCGGGTTGACTTCGAGTCAGCGCGTCGTATCGCTCGGCAGCACGCACGATGTCTCTGTAGCTGTTGTAATTTGCCGCAATCACCTGCCGCCGAATCTCCATTTTTAATCCTTCGGTGTACGCCTGGATTTTTTCGCCTTCGGTCAGGTCGGTGATGCGGTTGAACAGTAACTCCATCTGCTGCGTGTACTGTGTTACACTACTGTATTGCTTGTGTCGGTGTATCTGCTGCCACGCCATGTAGGTTGTATTAATTGGTACGAAACGCTCGATTAAATCTGCCCGAAACTGCTGCCACGTTTTCTCCCCGCGGGCTACGTCGGTGTAGTAAATCCATTCGAGAGCCGGTC